TTTGTTTCTTGTAGCATCGAAAGAGAAATAGCTGTTATGAAGGTTCCAGACTTCTGACAGCATTTCTACTGATTACCACATACTGCCTCCCTTAGCTGGTATATCAGTCACACATCAGTTGGAAGATGTAGTCAGGGTGGCAAGGGCACAGAGATAGTTTGGGTGAGGGACTTCAATATCCATCTCAAAGAGTTGGTTAGAACACTACTGACTGAGCCCTAAATGATATAGATGCCAGACTAGTCCTGCAGCATGTGATGAGAGCATTAAAGAAACAAAAAACTTATTTGACCTTCTCCTCATCGATCTACCCAGCACGGATGCAACTGTCTATAAGTGGCCACTGTGTAGTCCTTGTGAAGACAGAGGCCCACCTTCATATAGAGAATACTTTCCATGATTCTACATGGGAGAGATTCAGAAGAGATCGAACATCTGAAAGTTGAGAATCCAGGAAGGATCGAGTGCCACCAGTGGCAGCAGAACTGTATTCAACAACAAACTATCTGTAACTTCATGGTCTAGCATATCACTTACTCTACCATTACAATTAAGCCAAGTGTTCAACCCTGATTCAATGAAGAGCACTGGAAGGTGCATCAGGACAGAACAAGCCTTACCTAAAAATGAGGTGTCTATCTGGTGAAGCTACAACAGAACTATGCGACAGTTCTACACGATCCCACAATCAATGGATCAGCTCTGCAGTCCTGCTACATCCAGTCATGAATGGTTATAGACAAACAACTATTACACCTTGCAGGGAACAGAGAGGCTTGATATCCAGCATGCTGCCCCAGAGTTGTCATAAAAGTTGAAGTTTATTTTAAAAACCACCATTCCTCAATTTACCTGATATTTAGACCCAGGTTGATAGAAAGCATGGACCAGGTTTCTGTACTTAACAAGAACTCCCTTTTTTTTTTAAGAAAAGGAGTAAATAGACTCGATTACAGGTAAAGAGTTATGAACTGCCAGCATATAACCATGGGCAAAAACTTACCCGTTCTCACACATGCACAGAGGAAACTAAAAATGGGCAGAGGAAAAGACTTGGGAAGGCAGTTCAGTGGTTCTGGAGACAATTCCCATGGTTCTCATGGTCAAAAACAGTTTTTCAATCTTCGTTCTCCAGATGTTTCCATTGGTTTGATGGAGGCACAGGGGCTGGTTCGTACACAAAAGATCTGACTTAGTAATTAAAAGACACAGCTTACAGCAAATGCTGGGAGACAAATAAAATAGCTTCTCTCAGAGTAAAAGTAGCTTTTACTGCAGACAAAAAGGACCATGTCTTTTTATCTTGGTTTCTTTCGAAAATATGGACTCCAATGAGAATGAAATATTTTTAAAGGAACGTACAGATGATCAGGGGTTGAGGATCATCTTTGAAAGAAAACCGAAGCTGACTGGTTCTCAGCTAACTGCGCAGGTTAGAAGTGGAAAGAGGATACAAAGGAGCGCGACAGCGTTGAGTTGTTCTCCCTAGCAGAAACGGCCTATTCTCCACAATTTAAAAAAACTCAATTCAAACTTAAAAGCTCATTACTTATCCCATACTTTCTGGGAGCTGTGAATTTTGAATGAACAAATCAGATTCATTTTACAAGTGAACCATCCACTCTGTGCCTCTTACCGCTCATTTGAAGCATTCAGAGAAAGGACTTAGCCAGTTGAAGGATCATCTCAACTGCAGAGCTGGGAAGCACAGAATACTGAACTGACTTTCTAGTTTTTCTACCTTTGCCAATAATCTATTTTCCTGATTTGTTCCTGTGCGCATGCATATTTATGCATAAAAAGAGGGAGGTTTACAAGGGTCTTAGACTTTTATTCAGGAATGTTATATGCCAATGGTTTTTTTCTAACCTGCTGCTACAGATTAATCGTTTGTAATAAATAATAAATCTTGGTTAGTACATAAATCTTGGTAGTCTTGGTTGGTTGCTTTCTATCAACCTTGATCTGAAAGACAGATAAATTGGGGTACTAAGTGTACTTTTAAAAATCTTTAACATTTGGTCCAACTCCAGGAATAGTGGGGTTCAATTTATGGTGTGCTACCCCAGGGGTCGTAACAACAGAGTAGCACCATGGCTCAGCAGTTAGCACTGCTGCCACATGGCGCCAGGGACCCAGGGTCGATTCCAGCCTTGGGTGACTGAAAACTCCACATAGAACTGGGGAGAATGGCTATGTCTGCATGGGTGTCCTCTGGGTGCTCCGATTTCCGCCTACAGTCCAAAGATGTGCAGTCTAGGTGAAATGGCCATATTAAATTGTGCATAGTGTCCAGGGATGTGTAGGATAGTGGGGTTAGTCATAGTAAACTCAAGGTTACAGGATAGGCTGGTGATCTGGGTGGGGTGCTAGAGGACTGGTGCAGATTTGGTGGCTGATGGCCTCTTTCTGCACAGTAGGGTTCTAACAGAGAATGCCTCAACAGGTTGAGCTCTGAAGGCTTCTTTCTATCTTGTTCACAACCCCAAAGTGTTCAACCGAACAGCTGCTGGCAGGCAGAATGCCTTTGTCATGAATAAGAGGTCACTAGCACACAAACTGATCAGCTTCTTGATGCCGATTAAAGTTCCATTTGTACACTATCCTCTGCTGTAGCTTGCGTAAAAACTACGCAATTACTGTTTGAGCATATCGATATGTATAGGATGTCCAAAATGATCCAGTCCTAATGGAAATTATTTTAATGTGTTTCTCTTTTCCAATTTTGTTATCTTTGCACGTGTATGTATATTTCATATCTATTACAAACACACATTCATAATAGTTAGCCAACACCCAGCCTACTCCAACACTGGCTGGGATCTTCTGGTCAGCAATGAAGAAATGTATGAAGTACAACCCTACCGTAGGTGTAGGCTTTAGTAGGAATCCGCACCAGCTATAGTGTGCGCTCATCATGAACTCGGTGGAGAGCTTTAACATTAAGAGATGCCTTCCTAGCACGCTCTGCACTTCTATTCAATTTCTCCTCAACCTTCTCTGCTCCAGGCAACAATTCTAGCACCTCCAGCATAATCTTTCAACTGAAATTTCTCATTCCCATTTCAGTAAATCACTTTGCACAAACTCCAAGTTCAGAAATAAGGTTTGAACACAGAAGCAACAAGTCAAACTGCAAGTAAGAAAAATCAATATGTCCCACTGTGCCAACAAAAGGCTTCTGTTCACTTCAGCTGTACTTGTATTTGCCACAGCAGAGTACAGATCACCAAAATACAACATGCCAACTCAGATTCAAATAAGGTCATGAACCAGTGGCTCATTTAACAGATTAAAAAATTCAAAGCTTCCACAATAAGATCAACAACTTCCAGATCTGCTGATTTACCATGTACTTTAGATGACATTGCCAGCATTTCGAAGGAAATTATTAAAAATTAATGCAAATCAAACATCAATTTTAGTTAAAAGAGCAATGGTGAAACTCCATGAACATATTAGTAGAGTTATTATGATCCCACAGGACAAACCATGTCTCACAGGAGAACAACCGGCACTCACAAGCCAAAGGATTATTAGCACTGGAAGTGGAAAAATCTACAATTGAGAGAGTATTCTTCTGAAGGAATGCAGCATGGATTTTTGTATTGAAGATAGGGTCCCCTGAGGCAGGCCTATGTTAGAACTGCGTGCCTGAATTAGCAGCATTCTACTCCAACGTTTTAGTGAGGTGGCCTTTCAGTGACCCACAAACACGGGAAGCTAGATTTGCATTTAATAATAAGGAGGAAGTCTGTAATGCAAATGAAATTAAGATAAAATAGAATAAACCAACTATTTTTATATAAAAGAGTCATTTAAAGACTTCAAAACACAGTAAAAATATAATACCACTTATTCCAAATGCACCCCTTTACAGCTTATATTCCAGAAAGAAATTCTTTCCCTATCACCCCTATAGGGCTTACTTTAAATGTGGATTCAACTCTGCCTGGAGATTTTCATAGCCTCTTCCAGAAGCCTTCCTACAAGCAAGTTTAAAATTTTCTCAGTTTCAAATAATCCCTTCACGGTTTTAACCAAATACTTCAGGTCTGGAATTTTTACAAAACTCCTTACGTTACAGCAATTTGTTTTTAGTAATTTTAAGTCATCTTCTCCCTTTCTTATGAGCAACTACTTTACACAATTAGCCTCAGACAATAATAGTGCAGCACTGCTCAGACTGAAAACAAAAGAATATTATTTCTAAAGCTTTGGTGCTTGTCCTCAAAAATGGAAAAAAATTCCCTGACCTCCTAAACTGGAGCCTAAATGTACAACTACCCACTGGCAAAATTCATCCAGTGTCTCTCCTGAAAATCTCCTACATTTTATTTTAAAGGAAATCACCATGTCTAAAGAGATACTTACAAGTTAATAATTAAAAACTCCTTTCAGATACAGAAAATCCACACCCAAAAACAAAATCAAATATATAAATGACACATCCTGCATCACATTACTACATGGAGATTACATTAGCCCATTTTGTTTCCATACATCAAAAAGATCCAATCCTCATCACTATTTCCATTTTTCTCAGAAATGCTCAGGAGTTTGCAAGCAGCTTTTAGAAGGTGAGAAGCAACAGCAACCAGTCACTTACAAAAAAAAAGTCTCAAATTTTATGGTGACAGGCTGATTGCAACGATATGTATTACAGTGTACTAGGCACTACTTTACACTGCCACATTTGTTCTATCTTAGCCAATTTCCCAATTCCACATACCTTCAGTAACAAAGATGCAAGTGTGAGTAACCTACCCAGTATTAAAGTCACTCAAGTAGGAGGCAACTGCGAAAGTGCAAATGTGACCTCCAATTTAAACTTTCTACAAAAGGAAAATACGTTAGGCTGGCTTGAGCTGCTTTAATGCCAGAGGGAAGCAGCATTGAATTTTACAGTGAACACTTGTTACACTTGCTGCAAATGATCAAAGGACCAAAATTTGACAGAGAAATTCTTCATATAAAGCACATCGGTTTTGTCAGCATACCTCACCGTTTCCTCATTGCTCAGAATCTCTCTTTTGGATGTGTAGTCATTCAGACTTGATTCCTGAAATAAAATGAAGTGGTGAGATACAACTTAACTAAATGATATTTTACAAGATGACAATGAAAATATGAATACGTGATCACTTTGTTCCTTGCAAAAAAAAAAAGCTATATGATTCTATCACTTACCATCACAATGACTAGGGGCCATTTTTTATAAAATTCCTCAGTTTGAGTTACAACAAAACAATATTCTACTTGACACATTGAAATATATTGACAAGCCATTTTTTATTGGTAATCAAACTATTCTGTTGAGGATACTGGTCACCAAAAGAACCAAATTCTTTAGTTTAATAATTTGGACATTTGAAACAAATGGCTGTAATGATCAATTTTAAATTTTAAAATCTTAAAGACCAGAAATAGAACAAAAAACTACATGGCGCCCTGCACCACAAAAATAAAAGAAAAACTGCAAATGTTCTGGAAGTGAAGCAATAAGGTATCTTGGCAAGATGTTGATACTTTCCCAAATCTCTCCCATCTCATTTTGGTATTCTAGAATTGTTCCTCACTCAAAAAGAACAGTTAATGTCATGGACAGAAGTTACTTCCTGGCAGCCCCAAATTTACAAGTATTGGATCATAGATCATAAAACCCCTAAAGTGTGGAAGCAGGCCATTCAGCCCATCGAGTCCAGACCAACCCTCCGACGAGCATCCCACCAGATGCAACCCCTACCCTATCGCCCTAACCCCACATTTCCCCATAGCTAATCCACCTAGCCAGCACATCCCTTGACACTATGGGCAATTTAGCACGATCAATCCACCTTACCTGCACACCTTTGGACTGTGGGAGGAAATGGGGAGCACCTGGAAGAAACCCACACAGACATGGGGAGAATACGCAAACTCCACATACAGTCGCCCGAGGCTGGAATTGAACCCAGGTCCCCAGTGCTGTGCGGCAGCAGTGCTAACTACTGAGCCACCATGCCGCCCCTGATTATAATTCCAAACTTGAACCCTGTTTATGGGATCTGAAATTATTGGGTACCATAAACTACCAAAGCAGCTATGATGCTGAGAGCCTGTGCATTCGTTGCCCTTCCACTCGATATTCTTCAGTAGAAGTTTGCCTGCAGTTCTATGCAAGGAACCTTTATTTTCTGGACTTTCAAGTTGCTTCACCAGATAGAACAGTGCTTTGATGCCTTGCACCAGCCGCTTCATCCATACTTGTTTAGCAAGATACAGTTATTGATGATGATCAGCAGCTGATGCCAGATAACACCAACTGTTGTCTTACGGCCATTCCCCTAACATCTTGCGCATCAAAACAGTGCAAGATAGGGTAGTGACTTAGAAACAAGCGCTGTACAAGATCTACTTAGAAATGAAAAAGTTGAAGTCATTACAGATCAGACATCAAAGATGTGTTAAAACAAGTGGGATTATAAATGCAACTTACTAGTAATATGGCAGTATTACCAAATAACAACATAGGCAAGCTTAAAAATAAATAAATTCAAAATTGCTTATATTGTTTCTCAGTTTCTATGGCAAAAGTTAAATTGATTAGGAGACATTTATTTCTAACTAACGAAGTCAGTCAAGTTTGAATGTTCCCAGACTCCATTCAAAGAGGATGGATTCTCATGAAATTGACAAATTAGCCAAAGGACTATCTTATGGAAGAACATAGGGGAAAAAAAGGAGGCATGCATGAGGTAATAAATAACAAAAAAAAAAAAAAAAACATATTCTGGAGAACAAAACAACTTGCTAATAACCACCTGCCTAATCTGGAAGGAGGAGGCTGGAAGTCAGGCAAATTTTCACTTGTGGTTAATGGAGAAGAATATATAGAGTTGGTTCTGATAATGAGACATAGTATTATGTTTTCCTTAGCAAAATACTGAAAGGTGAGTTTAAAGTGCACAAAAACTTATGCCAGTCCAAAATGCTTAGTACACAAAACCACAGCTATTTACCTAATCACCCACACCACCTCTGCTGCTACCCACTGATACAATCAGGCATTTAAGACACCCACACAATCACTCACATTTATCACAAAAAACACCCTCAGTTTTCGACATTTTTCTCACACTTTCATCAGTATTCAGCATTTTGATTCATGCTTTCATACTAATATGCAATTTTATTTAATTCAATTTCCAATCTCACTGCAGTCGGTCATAATGAAACAGTTAATAATGTAGTAACCAAAACAGTTTCAAAGGGAATCAAATTTATGGCTGTAAATAAGTCAAAAGCATCAAACATGGCATTCAACTATCTGTCACAATCTAACAGCAGTAATCAGTGCAATCTTTAAATAGAAACTATTATTTGAAGCTTGTGACAGGTTCACAATCTATTATCTTAAGGTCCTTCTTCACTATTCTTCAAATGCCAGCTTTTATTACTCATCACTCCCTTAGCCAGTGCCACAGCACTGCTATCTTGCCAGGATAAACAACAGAGACATGCTCTTGAACAGCCAGTGAAAGGGTGTGTTGCAGTAAATCTGATCATGAGAACAAAGGCTTAGCAGAGTGATATGTTAAGGGTGAGTAAGTGTAGGTTACATAGAGCTTTATGCCACCCCATTGTGCAGGCTAATTATTAGAATGATCTTTTGTTTAACAAAAATAAAAACCAGTTGTCAGTCAAACTAGAAGGGTTCAGATAGATTGAGGTAATGGAAACTTATCAAAAAGATTTACAAAAGCCAGCTGCATCTTGTACAGTTCATCAGGACAAACCATATAATGTATTGTTAAGCCTTTTCGTTGGTATCTCAAAAACAGGACTTCTCAGATTGGTGTCAGAACCCTATGTGGGGTCAGTAGCTGAAATAGGAGTTCCAAACTCAGACAGCAATGGCCACCATGCAGCTCTGACCAAGTTATAACAGCTGTGATCCCACTTTAACAGGCTCCTGCTCTCTCAGCCCCATCATTTGTTCTCTCAGTTCTGTGGGGTTGTGATAATTCTCAATCCTCAATGTGGAGTTCCAGCGGGCAAACGTTTATGAAGCACTATTAGGGATATGCTGACTAGCAAGAAATGTATTTTTTTTTAAAAAAAGATATTGGGACTATCCTGCATGTCAGGTTGCATCTATGAAGAGAGCTACAAAATTAACAATGCATAACTGTTTCTCTCTTCATAAATGCTGCCTGACCAACTGAGTTTGTCCAGGATATTGTGTTTTTAAATTAATATTTCCAGCCTCTACAGTATTTTGCGTTTGTACAAGTATGATTAATGTCATGCATGGGAGAACTGGGCAACTACAATAAACCAACATTGCAACTCAAATTATTAATCATTTATGCACATGGTCATAGATTTTGCAAGCCCCAAGTCTGTTGGAAATCATTTGGGAAAATGGCATCTTTTAGCCATGTGGAGTGTATGTCTATATATCCAAACATGATAATGTTCATTTCTTGGAAAGAGATGCTATGGTTAACACTTGTTTAGAATGTTTTTCCAACTGGGAGCTAGTTTTATGCTTCAGTTAGTGATTCACAGGTGGCTAATAACTTCAATCCACCCTGTTGCGTCTTCAAATTAACCGGTGAAGATTTAAATGGTATACTGATTCTCATTCTGTGAACATACACTAAGCCAAATGTCAACGAGTGAAAACCTCTATTTGTTGTTTTAGGAGGTTAAAATAGTTCCATTCTTTCTCTTTTTCAATTACTAGATTAGATGCTGCAACTGCTGAGTGTATTGTCTATTAATGCTAGTCAGGGGTATCATGACAGAAGACAACCGACAACTCAGGCACTTGGATAGAAAGATGACAACCAGATTTTGGCTGAATGCACACAACAGAATTTCCAAGAATAGCAGAAAGCCTCATACCAAGAGTATCAGTCCAAGTGAAGAACTAGCATTCTCCAAGTCAGTTAGACTTAACACGTTGCAAGCCCATTCACCAGGCTTGTAGCATAACATTCATACACAGGTTGATGAAATATCAAGGGACTGGGCTGAACTGAAGCAATTCACAAAGAACTGGGTCTACCGTGAATGCTAACTTTAATCTCACCTGTGATAAAGTTGTGCCCTGCAATATGACTACCCTCAAAGAGGCTACAAACAAGAGACTATTCAATTTCTTACTTCTAAGTTCAATGCATTAATGAAAACTATGAATGCCAGAAACCAGCATTAGTTCTTACGGAACAGTACTTTCTACATTATTTTAATCTCCATAACCCCACTTTAGCCCCTTATCAGTTTACATAAATTTATCAAGTTAATTAAGCATGACTAGACTTTCTTGAAGCCATGTTGAACCTGTGTTTTCGCCCCGCCAATGCTCTATTATGTGCTTGGTCACTTTTAGTACACAGAATCCCTACAGTGTGGAAACAGGCCATTCGGCCCACCAAGTCACACTGATTCGCCGAAGAGCATCCCACTCTTACCCTATTCTTGTAACCCTGTATTTTCTATGGCTAATCCAACTAACCTGCATATCTTTGGGCTGTGGGAGGAAACCCACGCACGCACAGGGAGATTGTGCGAACTCCACACAGTCGCTCAAGGCTGGAATTGAACCCAGATCCCTGGCATCTGGAGGCAGTGCTAACCACTGAACGACCATGCTGCCATAATCCACTACATACCTATCACTGATATTAAACAAGCAGTTTTGTTCCATCTCCCTTTATCTAGAAACAACATAAGCTGACAGTTTGAGAAATTAAACATACTACATGAACAAGCCTCAGCTTCTCATTAGTATCCCTGAAGTGCGTACATGAGGCTTAATCCTTAAGCTAGTTTATCAACTGCTTACTCCCTTTCTGCCAAGTGTATGTTTTGCCGTTAGTGATATTGTCTATTGCATTGCTTCAGCTCTTAAATAAAAGGTGAAGTAGTCACTAAATATTTTTGCCTCTTCTCATATCTTTACCAGCAAGTTTATCTTGCTCATGCTTTAGTAGCCCTATCCATATTTTATATTTCCTTTGTTTACTGTGCATTTGTGGAACATTTAAAACATATCCATATGGTAAGGTCAATGATTTACAATTTTTGTTTTTTTTGTTTAAGAACATATTTCTCCCAAGTTCATCATATTCCCCGTTGTCCTTTCCTTCAGTATTCAAATAGGTGATAAGCGCAGTGACGCTCAGGTTAAACTTACCACCTCTACGAGATACCAGCCCTCTGGTCCTCAGACTACGTCAACTTTATATCTTTGCTTCCAATTGGCTTTTCAAATTACCTTTATTTCAACAGTCACCCCGAGTGCCCCATAATTAGCTTCCTTCTTTTCAGCTATGTGAAGTTACTGTTGAAACAAAGATTTTTCAATGTTTCACTGTTGTCTTTGATATGCAAGATCTTCTTCCAGTTTATTACTTCAGTTTGTTCTACTCGTTACTCTCAGCTCTAATTATGATTCTTGTTATGTTGCAAACACTTATCAAGATGCACTGATTTTTATTTTCCCAACTGTCTGACTCATTATCCATTTAGCAAAATTGCATTTCATGTTGCATTTCTCACATGCTGAGTGAGAAAGAAGTCCTGTATACACTAAAATCTCAATTTTCACTCATCTTGTGCTTTCCTGTAGTGAGAGACTGCACTTAGGAGCAAAATACCACTAATTCTTGCTCCTTTTGTGTCAAAGTGCTTCTAGCTGAGACTCCAGCTGAGGTAATAACACTTCTTACAGATGTGGCAGTGAGAAATGGTCTTCTTGTACTAAGATGAACAGAAGTGTCACTGCAATTGCTTTGCTTCATGTTTTAGTGAAATGCATCACAAGGTGTTGCATTATTGCAACATTGGTCACTACAAACATTTAACCCAAGCAATTCTTAAGAATTTAAGAAGAGTATCAACATTAATATCACTTACTAAATAATACTGCATCTTTAAGTGTAATGGTCCTAAATTTAAAGCACATCTAAATTAAAAATATTATGGAAACAGAATTTTGTTCTAATAAATTTCTGATCTAGTAATTTAGTGAAAGAAAAGTCACTACCTTTGTGAAGAAGTTTTTTCTTTTGATTTTGACCTAGTTACTAATTGAATAATAGGCCATAACATTTTTTAGAAGTGACTTTTCAAAAAGGAAAACATTTTATTGCAGGAAAATTAAAAAGTAAAACAAGGAATGCAACACACTTTTGCTTTGTGTTATAATCTAGATGACAAAAGATTGTGCACAGGCGACAACTCATCTTTAAGACCATGTTCAGAACATAAGCCAATGAAAACCTGCAGAGAAAATTTGGGAACACCTAAGAAAAAGTACAAAATTACCCAGCAGTACCACTGGACAAGAAAATGTTTTTGATTACCATGCTTAAAGGTTTACAAGATTTGTTTTTTCTAAAATTACATTTTATCGATGATTATTTGCGTAACGTAACGGCTCTAACAGGAAGTAATAAGTTTATATTCTTATTTAGACTTCGTTCTCAATTATTTTGTAGGAAGAATTAGATCGCCATCTATTGGAGAGATTTGACAAATATAAATGCAATTTATATGATGCCATGGTGATTCCAGGAGTGCAAGACCACAAAAATGGACACTGATCCAATAGCAGAAATTAGAATATTAGATTAACGTTACTAAAAGCCTGGTCAAATAGGTAAATTGCAAGGGGAAGAAGGATGGAGAGTTTCAAAAGAGGGAATTCCAGAACTGAAGGCAAGGTCAGCACTGATGGCATAAAGAGGGTCGGAAACACATGATTTGTGCAAGCTTCATTATTCAAAAGCACCAAGGGAAAAATCATGGCCCGATGGGTTGAACATGACTCGTGCTATAATGTCAATAATAATAATTCAAAACAGATGCAGCAAAAAAAAAAAATTAGATGCATTAGTACAGCCTTCCAAAAATTTTGACAGAGGTCTTCATAAGAAAACAAAAACTTTAATCTATAATTCTGTTGTCTCCTTCCTTCTAATTGGCAGTGGACTAAAGTCACTGACCAAAGGAGCTGATGAAGATTTTCCACCAGCTGGGGTGCCACAGCAGATGGAATCAAGTGGGATGACAGCAGAACAGACTCTAGCATCCTGAAGCCAATTCCACCAGCATCACAACCACATTCATATGAAATCAGCATCCACTGATCTGGATGCCGCACCCACAAAACAAATAATTGGCTTCCAAAGCACAGCTTGTTTCCACAACACAAGGACAGCACTTGATCAAGTAACACAAAACATATTTCACTGACACTTGCAAGATTTTACCAAAAAGAGACAAGGTTGATTTGTGGGATATGCTTCATTTAACAAGTTGCAACACAGGCAGAAACTGACATTAGAAACCTGATGCAGAGAAACAAAGAAAGGAGAAAGAGTGCGTAGAACCACTTTTCTCAACAGGACTCTTGCTCTCTTTGCCCAAAAGCTTCTGGCTCCAGGTTTGACATGCTGAATCACCCAAGGACAAATCATGAAACCTGCCCGGCTGAGGATGTCTACAGTTATTCTACAGTTATTCTACAGTTATTCTACAGTTATTCT